ACCAACCCACAGCGTCCTTAGTTGAGGTCAGCAGCGCACCATCCCCGTCATAAACAGTGTTGGTGGCAAAATGCTTCCCCGCCTGAGATGCTGGATGGRGGACCAGAATTGCCTCAAAACCCCGCGGAAGTCTTTTTCCATGGCCTTTCCAAACTCCTCCCACTCCTGAGTTTTTGCCTCAGCAACCACCCAAGATGCAATCCACTTGGATTGCCAATACCTATCGGCTGCTTCCGGAGTCCTACAGGCCAAAAAGACCCAATAGGACTCCTTCAGCCTCATTGCCAGTGTCCACCAGCCGGTTCGAAGGGTTGCCGTCACAACAAGCACAGACAACCTTATGGCCATAGCTCAGGTAAGCCGCCTTGACAATGGAGGCACGGAACATGGCCCACTCAGAATCAATGTCCCCCACCTCCCCCGGAACGTGTTTGAAGTTCTCCTGGAAATGTGAGTTGAAGCTCCTTTTGACAGGAGTCTCTGCCAGATGTTCCCAGGTCTCACTGTCATTGCCCACGTGAGCATTGAAGTCCCCTATCAGAACAATGGAGTCCCCATTAGGAGCGAGTCCAGGGACTCACTTCCAGGTACTCTAGGGGATTAATCGTCATAGTAATCATCGGCTAGATACCACAATCAAAAATCATGATAATTTTTTTGCCAATATTTCCCAACCCTAGTCACTATTCTACCTTTTAATAAATATGTAACATTTTTTGTTAATAATCATAAGTATTTAGAACAGATGACTTGAAATTGCTGAAAATGTTCAGTTTTAAGAATTTTTTTTGTATAGACTAGGGAGGAGACCCAGAGGAAGACCCAGGACACGCTGGCAGGACTACATTTCTTAGCTGGCCTTTGAACGCCATGGGATTCCCCCAGAGTGGCTGGCCCAAAATTTAATACTGGAGGTGGGGCACGTTGGCAAGTGCCTGGAGGACAGGCTTTTGCCCATGGAGCCTAACCCGGCATAGCCCAAGAGGAGATGTAGGTTCCCATTCCCATGGGCTCAATACCTGTGGGAAGGGTCGGGTGCAATGGGCAGTGGTCGAAGGCGAGGACCCTGGTGGTCTGATCCTCGTCTACAGAAGCTGGCTCTAGGGATGTGGAACATCACCTCTCTAGTGGGGAAGTAGCCTGATCTGGTGTGTGAGGTTGAGAGGTTTTGATTAGATTTAGTTGGATTCACCTTGATGCACCACTCTGGCTCTGGAACCAGCCTTCACGAGAGGGTTGGACACTCATCCACTCTGGAGTTTCCCTAGCTGAGAGGCACAGAGCAGGAATGGGCATATTTATTGCCCCCTATCTTGGTGCCTGTATGTTGGGGTTTACCCTGGTGAATGAGAGCGTAGCCTCCCTCTGCTTCCCTGTTGGGGGATGGGTCCTGACTGTTGTTTGTACCTACGCGCCTAACAGCATTTCAGATTATTCACCACTTTTGGAGTCCTTGGAGGAGATACTGGAGAGCCCTCCTGATGGAGACCCCCTTGTTCTGTTGGGGGACTTCAGCGCTCACATGGGCAATGACAGTGAGAGCTGGAGGGGTGTGGATGGGAGGAATGCCCCAGACCCCGCTCTGAACCCAAGCAGTGTTGTGTTCATGGATTGTCCATAACAAACACCATGTTCAAGCATAAGGGTGTCCATAAGAGCTCTTTGCACCAGAACACCCTAGGCCACAGTTCGATGATCAACTTTGTTGTCGTCTCATCTGATCTGTGGCTGCATGRCTTGGACAATCAGGTGAAGAGAGGGGCGGAACTGTCAACTGACCACTAACTGGTGGCGAGTTGGCTTCGATGGTGGGGGAGAATGTCGTTCAGACCTTGCAAACCCAAATGTATAGTGAGGGTCTGCTGGGAATGTCTGGCAGAGTCTCAAGTCAGACTGAGCTTCAACTCACATCTCTGGGAAAACTTTGTACATGTTCCGGGGGAGTTGGGGGACATTAAGTCCAAGTGGGCCATGTTCCGTACCTCCATTGTCGAGGTGGCTTACCTGAGCTGTGGCCCCAAGGTTGTCAGTGCCTGTCGTGGGGCAATCCTTAAACCCGCTGGAAGACACCGTTGATAAGGGATGCTGTCAGACTGAAGAAGGAGGTCTATTGGATCTTTTTGGCCTGTGGGACTCTAGAAGCAGCTGATGGTAGCGAAATTTCAAGCAGATTGTGGCTCAGGTGGTCAATAAGGAAAACCTCAGGCATGGGAGGTGTTCGGAAAGGCCATGGAAAAAGACTTCTGTATGGTTTTGAGGTGATTCTGGTCCACCATCTGGCATCTCAGGGGGGAAAAGCAGTTCACCACAAACAATGTTTATGGTGGGSATGGTGCATTGRTGACCTCAACTTGGGACATTGTTGGTCAGTGTGTGGAATACTTTGAAGACCCCCTCAATCCCACCAGCATGTCTTCCATGAGGAAGCAGAGCCTGGTCATCCTGGTCATGGAACACTGGACCAGCTCTACACACTCAGCAGGGTCCTAGAGAGTATATGGGAGTTGGCTCAACTAGTCTACATGTGTTTTCTGGACTTGGAGAAGGCATTTGACCATGTCCCTCTGGGAGTCCTGTGGGAGGAACTCCAGGAGTATGGGGTATCAGTCCCGTTGATTCAAGCTGTTAGGTCCCTGTGCACCCGGCGTCAGAGCCTGGTCCCCATTCCGGTAGTAAATATGGCTCGTTTCTATTGGGAGGTGAACTCTGCCAAGGTTTCCCTTTGTCAACAACTCTATTCATAACTTTTATGGACAGAATTTCTAGGTGCAGCCAATGTGTTATGGGGATCTGTTTTGGTGGCCTTAGGTCCTGCCCCAAGTGGAGGAGTTTACATATCTTGAGGCCTTGTTCATAAATGAGGGAAGAATGGAGCGGGAGATTGATAGGCGGATTGGTGCTGGTTCTGCTGTGATGTGGGCATTGTACCAATCTGTTGCGGTAAAACAAGAGCTGAGCCAGAAGGCAAAGCTCTCGATTTACTGATCAATCTACATTCCTACCCTCATTTATGGTCATGAGCTTTGAGTAGTGACCAAAAGAACAAGATCGCAGATACAAGTGGCRGAAATGATATTCCTCTGCAGGGTGTCCCTTAGAGACAGGGTGAGAAGCTCGGTCATCAGGAAGCAAGCAGACTGCCGGTCATGGAGATAACAGCACCTGCAGCAGGAAATGAGGACAGGAGAGCTTATTTCTATGTTGCCATGTGATGTTATTTGTTGGTGTTTTTAACTTTCACAGGCTCTGAAATGTAAAATAAATTTGAAACAGTTTTTGAAAAAAATTTAACTTAAAAAAATCTGTACCTGAAAAATGAGGGAAAATCCATGTAAATTACAGACAATCCATACAACTTGACTTGTATGATTTTGTCTTGCTGTCTGAGTTTGTTTTATTGAAATTGCAATACACTGTAGGAGGTAGGCTTATGGTGAAATAAGCCTTCCTACATATCTCTCATAACAAGGTTATGAGGAAAGTTTTACCAAGGTATTTTCTCATTACTTTAATATCTTGACTGTGCAAAGTGACAAGTGACACAATAAGGGAATGTTCAGACGAGTTCAAGTTGATTCATAAAAGACTATGCAATCATTTATTTACACAAACTGAACAGATCATAAGTACACTTGATTGTGGTTTTCCTATAACAAGCCTCAAAGTTAAATGAGATAAAACTCGCGTCCGAATTTTAATTCACATTAAACTCAGATTACTTATATAGAACAGTAAACGTCAGTTCTGATGTTAACAAACAAACAATTTACTCACACTCTTTAGCTTAAGTTTTGGCAAATAAAGAATAGAGGAAAGGATGAAAATAAGCTTGGTGTTCTACTACTCTTATTTTGTTAAGGGTGTTACAACCGGATCAGCACGTCCTCTTTGCGCTGAGATCTCCACGACACGTCACCCAGAACATGACAGCGTTACCTGTTGCTGGCTTCTTAACCAAACCCTGGGTAGTCACTGCTTCACCTCCGATCASTCAGGGAACGTTTTGATCGGCCCGCTCTCTGTTCCTCGGCGAAAAGTGTTATTTTAGGCAACTTTCGTCTGCTTCGATCTTCGCCAGAAAGATTCAAGCTGATGCATCTGGTTTCTCCTTTCAAAATAAAATTCTCCCCTCGGGAGTTGAAAAACACTTAGAGACTTGAGTCTCAGTGTGGGACGGTCGGCGGCTTGCCTCTGCCCTGGCCGTTAGATCCCCCTAATTGGCTTATGGGCCAGATCTATCGGGCCAAGCTGGTTTCTCCTGGGAGAAAACCCAGCGTTACTTCCCAGTTCGGCATCCAGGAAGAAGTGTTCCCTCACTCAAAGACGTCCGTGTTAGTAATAGAAGCGGATGACTTTGGTTCCGCCCTCAGGCGTTAAGAATGAGTCGGGAAAAGAAGAAAGATGAGGCTTTGCCAGCCAGGCGCCAGCCAAGGATAAATTCTGTGGTTGTTTAACAGAATATGATAACATTTCTTTTCAACTTTTCCTCTGGTAAGACTCTAAGAGAAATCACTGTAAAACATTTATGATGATTAATTAACATTTCTGTTTAAATAATCAGTCTGAACCTTTTGTTAGTCCAGATAAATGAAAGATTTTCTCAAGAAAAACTCACAATCATATTACTGTTTCCAGTAAAATAAAAACACAATGAAAACATGGTAATGATTTTCTCTGTGATTTTTATACCATTAATTAATCTTTTAGGCACGATAAAAGAGTAGAAGTAATTCCACTTTCTTTGTGACAGTCATTATATGATTTAACAAATGCATAAACATTCTTAGTTAAACAACAAATGAATCGCAAACAGAAAAGATTGTTCTGTTCATTATCTGATTAAGAGAACTGAGAAATTCTCTTCTAGGTTGAAATGGCATGTCATGGCCTAAATAGTTTGTGACAGATTTCCTGCCTTCTCAGTAGGCCTGTCCGAGGCCTGCTTCGAGGCAGTAAATCTTGTTTCTTCACTCGAGAAGTAGCCCTACAACAGAAAATTGTAACAGGACTGTGCAGCTCTTTATTTGAAAATTTGTGCATCAAGGCCATTTTTGAGACCTTTCTTTGTAGTCGGACATCCATATGTTAACTGAGATGACAATGTTTGGTGCCTGGTTTGGGACAAGGAGAATATAACAACTGGTAAACTATTCTAGAGTGCAAAAGTGATTACTTCTAGAAGAGCTTGTCCTGAACATAAAACACTTCATCTGAGAGAAAACATAAGAAAAACAACGGGGCCATAAAACCTGATGACATTTAGGTCAGACTCAGCAGAGGCCACTGACTCTTGGCCTCAGGATTATGCTGGGATAGACAGATGTGCAAAATATTTTTCTACAAAAATAGCGCTGTTCTCAGATCAGTTCATCTCCACTTCTTTTGATTCCTCTGTCAATCACTGCTGGATGAAGCTCTCAGTCCAGAGTCTCTCTGCATACAAGCTACTCCTGCTTCAATATCTGTGGATCATCATGATACAGCTCCTCTTCTTCCAGAAAAACACAATAAAAGCTCAGAGCCTTCTTAAGAAAGGTTGAGACCTCCAGCTGTAGAGAGAAGAAGAAACAACAGAAGAAACAAGTATTTTAGAGACACAAACTTCAATCACAACACATTGAGCAACATTTTTGTTCAAACTTTGTCAGCAACTGTTGGACTCAACCAACAGTGTTAGTTACAGTGTTCCAGATACTGAGATCAGATGTGGTGTGGTAGTAGCTGACAGTCATTTCAACATCCTCCAAGCTCTAACAGGTCAGCTGTGAAACCACATGGTGACATCAGATCTTATTTTGAGTTGGCTTCATTCCTTCCAGTAATACTTGCTGTTTACTTCTTTTCTTGTCCTTCTATTCAATCCTGAAACCAGTCTCTGTTGTCCTCTCAGTTCCTGTTCTTCTCTCATAAGTTCCTTCAGAAATACAGTTACTGAGAAGCCGCAGTTTTACAGGAAACACTGGGTTTTTGTTTTGAGACGAACTGGCTTTAGTTCAATTCTGCTGAATCAACAGGAACCACTCCAACCTTCTACTGACCTCAGAGTCTCCAGACTGTAATCTGGACTCTTCTGAAGATCCAACAGCTGCTCAACATCGGGATCRAGCAGGTTGTTGAGATTCAGGTACAGATGTCTCAGATGGGAGGGGTTGGACTTCAGAGCTGAACTCAGAAAAAYGCAGCTGATCTTTGACAACCTGCAGCTCCTCAATCTGAATAAACAACAAAAGATGTAAGTTTAGAAAAGAAAAGAATTCAAGACTTTTAAAGACACAGTCTGACATGGTAAAACAACATCAGTCCTTTGTCTGTCTGGGGTCGGCTAAATGCCTGCAGTTCACGCATGCTCATTGGTTTAAGGAAAACCCATAATTTTAGTTTATTTTTGTTTGTCACCTCTCAGCCTTCATTCCACCTCAGTCTCTTTTTCTCTCTCCCTCTTTTACTCTGACCCARACATCCACTCATTACAACCCTGAATGTGTTTTAACGTAAACCTGCCTTTACCTCACTTGTTTAGAAACAAGCTCGTTAGTTAGTTTTATCGCTTAATGTCAGTCAATTTGCCTTAGAACTGATAAGTCTGTCATTAAGASAGCTCAATTGTAATCTCTTTTTCTTTTGTTTTATTTTTTTTTTWAAAAACTGGTTARGTTGTAACAGGCAGAAAATTAATGACTTATTATTTTCTGTGGTTTGAAAACTGGGTATTTTTGCCAATTGGGCTCCTGAACCCTTGATAAACTACTACAGGGATATATATGATATTTCAAAGTGGTGTTTATTTACATATTGAACTTTGAAAAACTTTGTTCCAACTGTACAGACAAGTGTGCTTTAGCAACTTCTCCATWGTTTCCTGGGGCAGAAAAGACAGCCTGTCACAGTCACTGATTTAAATTCAACAGAGGTTGATCAGAGCCGAGCTGCTAGTATTACTTTTAAAGGCAAATAAAATGGGCAATTAACATGTTTGACCCGTTTAAAGTTTTTGGRCCAGATGATATTTTCTCACCTCTCTTTCAAAGAGGACTGGAATTCTTTCTGGACACAATTACTAGAATATATGTTGCTTGTCTTGCAAACYGTTATGAACCAGTTGGGTGGAAGATGGCAAAAATAGTCTTTCTGCCCAAACCTGGAAAGTCATTGTAGCATGAACGATCCCTCTTTTCACATGACGTCTTGACCATACAAGTCATGTTTTCTAACTGAACTAAACTGTGTTCTTTAAAAAGCTTTCTTAAAGTCAAACTTTTACCTAGCTCTTTGTTCTGTCCTTCAAAGAAAATTGAGCTACAGTTTAAGTGTCTGTTTAATCATTTGTGATTTATTATGTAAAAAAAAATATTCATTACATTTTTAACATGATTTTTTCTTCTTTTCAGCTGGTATTATTCAAGTGGCATCAATGGATGCATCAGAACAATGGTTCAGTTAGTTTTTATTGTCCTTCCAAATGAGTTTACAAGGTAAAAAGATAGATACTGGGGTCCCAGATGACAGCAATGAAAAAAAAAACAATAAGGAATTTGAAGATAAAAAAGAAAAAAGAAAAAAAGGACAGTGCATTGCATTGAATGTATTGCAACAACTGTCTAA